TGGCTGATGGCATGATGTAAGCAGCATCATAGTGGAAGGTGTAACCTGGGCTTTGGAGTTAAATCTAGGTTTGAATTCTGGTATACTCTACTACATAGCTGAGAACACTCCTTTCATTACAGTGTTGTTATTATCAGAGACAGGGTCTCACTCTGCCACCCAAGCTGGAGTGCAGTGGCATGATCTCGGCTCAACCTCCCAGGCTCAAGTAATCCTTCCCCCTCAGCACCCCTGAGTAGGTAGGACTACAGGCATGTGCCACTATCCCTGGCTAATCTTTGTGTATATGTATATATGTGCATGTATATACACACATATATATGTATATATGTGCGTGTATACACACACACACACACACACACACATATATATATTTTTGGTAGAGACAGTTTCACCATATTGGCCAGGCTGGTCGCCAACTCCTGAGCTCAAGCGGTTTGCCAGCCTCGGCCTCTCAAAGTGCTGGGATTAAGGTGTGTGCCACTGCACCTGGTCTCATCACAGTGTTCTGCTTTTATCTGCTCCTGAAAGCTGGGGTGTGCTGTAGTAAACTTAGAAACAGGAAATACAGAACAGCCATTTTCTCCTGCTGATCATATTCCCTGCCAGTTTTCTACTACCTGGCCCACTGATCACCTTGCCAGATGCCTTCCCAGCTGTAATAAGCTCTGTTTCCCAGGACTCAGTCATAGCCATAACCAATGTTTTCCCTAGAAATGGCTCTTACAAAGTCTCAGAAAAGCTCAAGTTAGACAACAACTTTTTTTTTCAAGAGACAGGGTCTCACTCTTGTCATCCAGGCGGGAGTGCAGTGGCACAATCACAGCTCATTACCGCCTCAGCCTCCAGAGTACCCGAGACTACAAGCACACACCACCGTGCCCACTTATTTTTTTTGTAGAGATGGGGATCTGACTTGGTTGCCCAGACTGGTCTTAAACTCCTGGCTTCAAGTGATCCTTCTGCCTTGGCCTCCCAAAGTGCTGGAATTACAGGCGTGAGCCACCATGCCCAGCCTAGACCACAACCCTTATTCAGCTGGTCTGCCCCGGGGAGCCTTCATCTAACAGAGCCAACATTGTCCTCTCCATACACTTAGGTTTGTGTTTGCTCCTTGGTTTTTATATTAATCACCTTTCACATCCATTTACATGCAAAGCTAATAGAAATAAAGGATGCAATTTGTTATCAATGATGGTTCATAATAATCATTTAGGCACTTGTAGAATGAAAACTACTAAGGTTTCTAGGACTAAGGGAAGAAATACTAAAGTGATACACTTAGTACCACCAAAGCCACTACATTTTTTGAGGTGTAAATTTCACAAGGTCTGCATAATTTAGATGACAAATTAAGGCTCAAATTTTAAGGACGAATAGCTATTTCATTGATCTCACATGGCTCACTAGGCAACAGATTCCCATTTAAAAGGGGTAATTGAGTTTAATGGGATGCTAACTATAAGGGGCTGAGTAGGATTAAGGGAAACCAAGTCAAGATATCCAGTCAGCAGTGTCCAGTAGAAATTTCTATAACGATGAAATGTTCTACATCTACATTGTCTAATACAGTAGCCAAAGCCACACGTAGTTATTAAGCACTTAAAATGTGGCTAATGTGACTAGGCCACTGAATTTATTAATTTGTTTAAATAGTCACATGTTGCTAATAGCTACATTGGACAGTACAGTTCAGGTCTAGCAAAGAGCCATCACAACTCCTAGGCCTGAAGAGGTGAAGTAAACGAACATTTACTGAAACCTGGGGTGATGCAGAATTAGAACTCTATCTTACAGGAAAGGATTACATGACAGAAGCCGTAGCCTTTGACAGAAGAATGCTGCCACTGCCAACTTGCAAACCAGCAGGGGAGGAATTGTGAATAAATACCAACTCACTCTTCTTCTTGCCCCCGTTCCCCTCTGGTGCCTGACTGGTGGAATTCAATCAAAAAGTAAAGAGAGCTCCTTGATATAGTCCATAAAGGTCAGCCTCTTGGAGCACAGTAACAGTGAAAGGTGGAGAGTACACCTGGAACAAAACATTATGGCCCGTGCAAAATGAATTGAGGCATCAAACATTTGCTTTATTGGCACTTATAAATCTAAATAAATACAGAACCAATAGCAAAACATTTAAAAAGTATGTTGTTAAAGAAAGTCCTACAAGTGTTTCCTGTTGTTAAAACTATTCAAGTTTTCTGTTGCAATAAACAGGACAATGTTTTAATCAAACTGTGACTGTGTTCATTTCAGGTCTCCTACATGAAGAATTAGGTCAATACTATGCTCCTTCAACTATATTCAACCAAGGATCTGAATGAAACTTTTCCTAAGGTACCATCTCAAATCACAAGGCCTGGGATTGGGACTTTTTTTATTTTACTAAAGACCACTGTAACTCAATAAATAAACTTATATTAGAAAATTAGAGGAAGACCAATACTACTCTCGGACTGCATGGCCACTGTCTTCAGCTGTTTTCTGTAATGATTGTTTGTAGGTATTTTACCAACCTTTTTCACTTTTAGCACTGAATAGTGCTAAGGGGAAAAAAGGATGGGGAAGGGAGGAGTGGCAATATCTATAGCTACAGGGTCCTATAGCTACAGGGTTGTCCTATTTGTGGAAAACTTTATTGTCTACTTTCGTGGGTCCTGAATATGAGTCCAGTCCTTCCTGCCCAGCACTTAAGGAAGAAAGGTCTAATGTGACTGTATGGGGGTTGAAGTAGGTACCAAAGGAAAAGCAGTTCCCACCACCTCCAAGGAGCAGAAGCTGTTGCTCTTCAGGAAGGAGGATACTCGTATGGTTGTGTAACATTAATGGCCATGGCACATAGGTTGTGTCAATCTCATACTCAGAGCACAATCCTGTAGTCAAATTGATAACAGTCACTCCAGGAAATGAGGAGGAATGAATCCAGACTCCTCCAACCAGTAACAGCTTTCCATTGAGCACATGAGCTGTGTGGGAGTACCTTGGGGTAATGGGAGGCTGGATATCTATTGACTCCCAGAGGAATCCACAAGAGGTTGGTCTCAGAAAGAGCACAGAGTTCAATGGCTCCTCAGAAGCCCCGAGACCTCCAGCAATAAGGGCTCCCCCTTGCCAAGTGCAGGCACTGTGAGAATGCCGCGCTTCAGGCACTTCTCCCTCCACTGGGATCCTGACCCAAGCCATTGTCTCTACATGTAGGAAATGCCAGTCACTTAGTACAGGTTCCACCACACTTCGACCCCCATACACAAACAAATATTCCTGATTCTGATAGGACACTTCTGTTGTTGAATGCCGCCAACAAGACAAAGTGGAATCGTTCTTTGGGCCGGCCTTTGTTATTGTCACTTTCAGGTCCTGAGTGTTATTATCCTCACTATTACAAAAATGAAGCTGGAGAACCCCTAAGGCTGGACTTACTGGGGACAGTCTCCCTCCCAGAACCAGAACCCGACTCTCTGAGAGTCTTGTCATGGTGTGATAAAGGCGTCCATCCCACTGAACTCCAGTCCCACAATCGCCTATTTGGCTGCCTTTCCATTCCGAGTCACCATCTCTTGAGAGCAAGTGAAACTGGCTCACTCGGCAGTGCCGCCCCTCCTGCTCTCCAAATCCTCCTGCACTGAGAATTACGTCCGGGCTCAAGAGGACAGAGGCGTGGCCGTATCTCTTCAGATTTGGGACCTGGCCCTCGCTACTGACTACACTGGCAGGGAATACCCCCGAAGGCGAAGCAGGATTTAGGCGAGGAAATGCCTCTGAAGATGGAAACACTAGGGTGTGGGAGAGGATGTCTCCCCTAGAAGCTGCCAGAATGAAATAATGGGCGCACTTCAGATGCCACTCCTCAAATTCGTCAAAGGGTTCAATATTTTCCACCCGCCGGCGCTCTTCTGCGGGGAGAAAGCAGCGATAGAATTCATTCATGTCCACGGCACCACAGGCAGTCCAGCCAGCTTGAAGGAAGCGGCGCCGCTGCGCCTCCACGTCAGGAAAGCGCTCCAGGCCATGCAGGGGGGAGTTTAGCTGCCGAAAATGTTGCAGCATGAACTGGCCAAAGGCGTCTTGAGGCCTCATTTGCTCATAGACCACGAAAAGGGCATTAGGAAAACGCTGCGCTGCCCAGGCGATGAGGGCCGCGGCACTCTCCGTCTCGAGGTAGGTCAGCACCGCCTCGGCCAGGAGCAGAGTGGGTGAGGCTGCGTCGAGCCCCGCGGCGCCCAGGGCCTCGTCCACTCGCTGGAGCTGCCGCAGGTCCAGGCCCAGGATGCAGTAGTCTGCGCTCTCAAAGCACAGCGCTGACGCGGGCTCCCCACGATGGAAAGGCCCGGTTAACGCGCACAGCTCTGGCGTCTCTCCAATCCTCTCTGCTTTGCGCCGCGCCACGTTCGGAAAATCCACCTCCCAGACTGCAGCCCGGGCCAGGCGGCCCGCAGTTTTCAAGCGAAAATAGAGCGAGTCGAAGCCGGCGCCTAGAGACAAGATCTGCGCGCGACGCGCGGCGTGGAGCGCGCCAGTCTGCTCCAAGAAGGCGCGCACGCAGTGCCTCACGGCGCGTGCGCGGATGTAGTAGCCTCGGTGAATGAGCGGTGCGCGGCGCGCCGCGCCCGGAACCAGCAACGCGGCAAAGGGGTCCTGCACGTACCCGCGCGCGGCCAGGGAACGCTTGCTGAGGGCGCTGCTGTCGTTCGTTCTCTGTACCGCGCCTGCCCGACGTTCGCGGTTCCGGGGGCCCATAGCCAGAAAAGATCAGGAATGGCAGTCTGTCACGGTTGTGAGCCTCCCTTTGGTTAGCATAGTACACCCCTCATGCACCTCGGTAGGGAGAAAAATCACCCATGCTCCTGGACCTCCCCTTCCGCCTGCACTTGTGCGTCACTTCCGGGAAGAGCGCATCTCGCCAACCAGAATTGAGGAGGGTGTAGCCAGTGCTAAGTTCGCTTGGGGCTGACCTTTCTTTGATTGTCCTGCGTTCCGTTTGCCTCAGAAATGTGTGTTAGAGAAGGCGGGTTGTCACGTTTCTACAAGCCTTTCAGTGAGAAGGGAAACCTTGCCTAAGTCCTCGTAGTTGAGAAATCTCTAAGAGGTGAGTCTGTGGGGACTGACGACCTGGCTTCCTTGGACCGCTAAGGAAGGATCTGGTAGGAGCTAAGAAGGGTCGGCACCACGGACCTTCTGTGGGCAAGGATTAGTTAGCTTCCTTGGGTGCTAATAGTTGCTGATTTATTTAATGCTCTCACAGTTGCAAAAGAGATTTTATGGAAATCTTTTTTAAATGGAAAAAAGATTCCATTTAAATCTGAAGTCACTAAGGCCAGGGTGCAAACTGAAGAAACCGACCTTTACAAATAATCTATAGACACTTAAAACGTCTCCCCACAGATATTAGACTGTTGATTCCCCGTCCTGTGTTAGACTGACAGTGAATAAGCCACTCAGCCTCTCTTTCTCGTCACACCCCCTTCCACTTGAAGAATTCTGTGGATTTTAAAGTAGTGTTGAATATGTCCCCAGAAAAGGGAGTCACTGAAGAGAGGGGTAATTGTTCCCTGTGATATGTTCTGAGCTTTGTTTTTAAGGAGTAAATCCAGATTGGACTTCAAAATAATCATAAAGTTTCTAAATTGGGTGTCTGGGAGTCATCCATAGGAAACCACTTCCAGAGACATTTAGGAAATTTATCATTTGTTCACTGGGATTTGGTGACTGACTGGCTGAAATAGAAAAGGAGATCAGATAACTTTATGGTTAACTACAGATGGTACTGCATAATGGTTAAGAGCATGAGTTTTGGAGTCCAGCAGATTTGGATACTGGAGTCAAGAAAAAGTTTCATATTTTCCAATGTTTTCTTGTGGAATAAAATGAAGTAAGAAAGAAAAGGTTTGGATCAGGATAAAGATTTGGTAATTGAAAAGTGGCATTTAGATTTGGTGTTGAAAGACTCATTAATGACCTTAGGGAGAGCAGTTTCTGTGAGGCAATGAGGGCAGAATCCATGTTTCAGTGACTAGGAGTTAAGTTAAAGGAGGTATCCAGTCTAAATTATTATACTTTCGAGGAGCTTAACTCAGAAGGAAGAAAGGGTCAGGGCAGTGGCTACAAAAGAATGTGGGATAAGAGAGTCTTTTGTTCTGTTTTCAGGTGGAAGCAAGTATTGCACATGCATGTTGGTCCTGTGAGGGACATCAGCCAGTGGAGAGGGAGAGGTTGAAGGAACAGAAAAAGGAGAAGATAACTCAGTGGTAGAGTAACTTGGAATAGATAGAAATGGGATCCTGGGCATGTATTAGTTGTGGGGATAGAAGAATGAATCCTTTGTCTGTGACTCCTGACGGGGTAAAAAAAAAAAAAAAAAAGATTATGGATAATCATAAGCTCAGGTGTGAGGTAGGGCAGAGAGAAAAAGAAGGAATTTACACCTGATGCCTTCTGTTTTCTCTGTAAAGTTGGTGGCAGAGTTGTCAGTTTAGTGTAAGGTGGTTAGATCGGATGAAACATTTGAGGAGTTTGCAGGGATTAGAAGAAGGGCTCACCTATGCCTGCTGGATCATTGGATCCTCACCCTTAAAATGAGATTAAGTACTGCTTTGTGAGGTATCTCAGGGTTGATTGAGGGGCAAATAGAAAAAAAAAAAAAAAGTTGAAGGACTTTGAAAAATACATAGCACTATAGAAACAAATTTATTTAATGACAAGTTGCTAAAATTTAGATGTTATGTCAAAAATACTGCTTGTTTTGCAAAGACCAGATCAAAAAAGTAATTCAAGAAGAAACAGAATGGAGCAAAATTTGTGATTTGGATGCCTTATGATTTATGGCTGGTGGGGGAGCGTTTAAATCTCAATTTATTCTTATATAAAATGGGGATAATAATACCTCATGGGTTGTTGTGAGGATTTAAACAAAATAACTAAGATACCACAGTGCCTGGCTCATGGTAAGTGCATAATAAACAGTAACAAATATTTTTATTATTCTGAGTTCCCTTTTGGGGGAGTAGGTGGGAGCGTGAAAAAAGTTCCCTGGGAGACAGGATACTTGCTTCTGGCCCTGCTCTAATATTGATGAAGCATTACTAATGTGGATCTTATCCCAGTGTTTGTTGCCTTCTGTCCCAGACCAAAACCAGTCCAGAAAGGTTGGATTTGACATGGCATGCTATTGTTGGTAGCAGTGTTTTAGGCAAGGAACAAAAAATTTTTTAAATGTGTGAAGATTATGATTGCTTAGTTGCTTTTTAATTTCTGTCGGTTAACTTTGTAGCCAGTGGGTCAGTAATTTTACTCACAGCTAGTTAAAGGTCAGTCTGGAGGATGGTTTGAATGGGGCCCAAATTAAGGTCAGGATCCTGGAGTAAAACTGAAAATCTGGCCCGGCAGAGTGACTCACTCCTGTAATCCCAGCTCAGGCTGGTGGATCACTTGAGCCCAGGAGTTTGAGACCAGCCTGGGCAACATGGTGAGACCTCATCTCTACAAAAAATTTTTTATGTAAAATTAGCCGGGCGTTGTGTACCTGCCTGTGGTCCCTGCTACAGAGGAGGCGGAAGTGGGAGGATCGCATGAGTCTGGAAGCTTGAGACTGCAGCAAGCTGTGATCATGACACTGCACTGCAGCCTGGGCAACAAAGTAAGATCCTGTCTCAAAAAAAAAAGTATGTTTTTCTATTTTAATTAGGTCATTTATATTTTTCAGTGGAGATATTAAGTGCCATTGATTAAATAGTCCATCTTTTTCATTTTTTACTATTTATTAAATACTTTCTATGGCATTACTTTGAAATGCCATGTTTATCTCATACTAAGTAGGCCTTTCTGTGGATTTCTATGGCTATGTTTAGTCCTGTACGGACTACTTTCTTTATTGTACATTTTAATATATTGGTAACTTATTTAACCCCACTCAGTATCAATTTATTGATTTTCAATACAGTAATATTTTGCAAAGTTGTTTCAAGGATTAAGATAATATTATTAAAAGTGCTTGTCACATACCTGGTAGATTCTGAATACATGGAAACTGTTATTCTTAAATGTCATCATCATTAGTATGTGACAACTCAGAGAGTCAAGGTGGCTACTTTGAAAATCACTGAATTTCGTTTGGAATTTTATCTTCACTTATAAACCACTTTTGGGGGTGAAGGGAAATTGTGATTGATTTATCACCTACAGTGTGCTAGGCACTGTGCTAGGTGCTAGAGTGGTAGAATAATTCATAGGACCTGTCCTCAAAGAACTTACAGTCTAGAGAGAGAAAAAGTATATCAGTGATTGAGAGATCAGTGTGATTAAAAGCTGAGTTAAAGGCAGTGACTGGCTCATATAGGAGCATAGATGAGGGGAATTTAAATTACTTTATTAATCATCACTGCCACTTTGCATTTTTAATCCCATTGTTGTAAATAAAGAAACTGAAGCCATGAAGGTAAGTGAGTAAGGCCACATAGCTTCTGACCTATAGAGCTGGCAAAAGGACAAACCTAGGTCCGTCTGATGCCAGCACCTCTGTTCTTCCTTTATGTATTTCGAACAATTCAAAATTTAAAATTTTTGGCCGGGCATGTTGGCTCATGCAGGTAATCCTAGCACTTTGGGAGGCCGAGGCGGGGGATTCACTTGAGGTCAGGAGTTCGAGACCAGCCTGTCTCTAATAAAAATACAAAAATTAGTTAGGTGTGGTGGTGTGCACCTGTAATCCCAGCTACTTGGGAGGCTGAGGCAGGAGAATCGCTTGAACCCGGGAGGCACAGGCTGCAGTGAGCTGAGACCATACCAATGTACTCCAGCCTGGGTGACAGAGGGAGACTGTCTAAAAAAAAAAGAAAAAAAAAATATATATATCTCTCTCTCCAAAGTAGGCCTTATAAAATTTCGAATTTTGAAGTCATTGTGTAGAAGGTGCCAATAGTTAAGGAATACACTCTACTAAATGTCAGATTTTAGTACACCTCTTACAGGCTTGAGGTCTTTTCCTGTTTCTAGTTTATGTTGTTTACTAATTTTTTTCCCACCTTAGACACACTTAAGTTAGTTTTAGAGGGGCTTTTGCCTTTTAAAGAGAAAATTAGCAAAATCCTGTTCCTTTCCTTTTATGTTAACATCTGAAAATATTAACATTTGTTAAAATAGGTGAAGCTGAACCCAGATCTACACATACAGCTAATCTTATCAAAATGTGTGAAAGTAAAGCAATCTGAAGGAAATTCAGTACCATGCGGTGTACTGACTGAAATACATCACATTGCTCATACCAAGAATAAGAGTGGAGAACGACCATTTTTTTCCTGCTAAAATGGTGGAGGCAGAAGAGCAACAGCCATGGAAGACGGACTTCTATTCTGAATTGCCAAAAGTGGTGAGAATTCAACTACAGAAATCTTGAGTGGTTGCTAATTGTAATGACTTTTATGTTGCTTCTTTTCATCAAAGTAAATTTTGGCTGGGTACAGTGGCTCATGCCTGAAATTCCAGCACTTTGGGAGGCCAAGGCGGGTGGATCACCCGAGGTCAGGAGTTTGAGACCAGCCTGGCCAACGTGGCAAAACCCCATCTCTACTAAAAATACAGAAATTCGCTGGGCTTGGTGGCATGCCTGAAGTCCCAGCTACTCAGGAGGCTGAGGCAGGAGAATCGCTTGAACCTGAGAGGCGGAGGTTGCAGTGAGCTGAGATCACACCAATGTACTCCAGCCTGGGTGACAGAGTGAGACTCCATCTCAAAAATAGAAAAAGTAAATTTTGTAGCAAAATTTGTAAACTTTGTTATGTAGCTAAATCTGGTAAGCAATTTGCCTAGTGCAAACTACAAACATCAAGTATCTGATATGATGCTATGAATCTATTGGATATTTGGTAAGTTTTACTGGTTGTATCTCTTGTCTTAGGAACTTCATGCCCACTTGAATGGATCCATTAGTTCTCATACCATGAAGAAATTAATAGCCCAGAAGCCAGATCTTAAAATCCACGATCAGATGACTGTGATTGACAAAGGAAAGAAAAGAACTTTAGAAGAGTAAGTGTGGGGAGGTTGTGGACATACTCCTTTTTTTCTCTATCAGTATTTTGAGATTGTAAGTAGTATGTAAGAATTCAGATTTTAGTAGTTAACAGAAATGGGGTTGGCATCTGGCATGGAGCAAATATCTTAACATACAACATTTTTTTCCAGCTGTTAGACTGTTGACAGTATTTCTAGTGATTTCTGTTGTTTGTGAAGTTATAATGTATTGGGATATGCTTGCCTTTTTTTTTTTTTGGAGACAGGATCTCACTTTGTTGCCTAGACTGGAGTGCAGTGGCGTAACTGCAGATCACTGCAGCCTCGACCTCTGGGGCTCAAGCAGTCCTCCCACCTTGGCGTCCCAAGTAACTGGGACCACAGGTGCACGCCACCATGACTGGCTAATGTTTTTTGAATTTTTTTAGAGATGGGGGTCTCCCTATGTTGCCCAGGCTGGTCTCAGATTCCTGGGCTCAAGCTGTCCACTTGCCTTGGCCTCCTAAAGTTCTGGGATTACAGGCATGAGCCATCATACCCAGCCTGGGGTAGTCTTTAGATTTGAAAATATAGGCATATTGAATTTCCCCGTGTCAGGGGTGGGTTGGAGAAGGGGTAGTATTATTTCCCACTTAAGAATATCAGTAATGTTTTATTTTCAGTCATTTGATATCTTTCCAGATCAATGTAATTTTTGAAAAATCTATTCTGTTGTTTGTAAATATAAATATATATTTACTATTAGCCTAAAATATAATTCATTCAGTTAGTGAGTTTCTTTGATGATTAGAATATGTTAAAACTTTTCATTCACGTTGCAGATGTTTCCAGATGTTTCAAACTATTCATCAACTTACTAGTAGCCCTGAAGATATTCTAATGGTAAGACATGAACGAATTTTTAGAATGGTTTAAAAATTATGAAGTAATTTCCTTCCATGACTGCACATGACCTTTCATTTGTGCTCTCATTAAGAGTGATGAAAAATGTCTTCTCTATTAAGGCAACTCTTTTCAAAACCGATGTAAGACATTTGCCTAAGAGCTAGCACAGAAAGACTGTGTTTCTTGTAAAAGATATGAGGAAAGAACCAGGAAGAGCATCTTCTATAGGATAGAGGACAATATGGAAGAGAAAATTTGGTCCTGTTTTTCATATATAACATACATATATGAAATACTAGACCACAGGTGGAGATATCCTTAATAAAGCATTGTCTGTGTTACATAGGAGACTTACTTCATGGGTGGACATTACAGAGAAGGAAGAAGTTCATGAAGAGCTTAGAGATTAAGTGATTAATCCCTAGGGAAATTGTGCCTTCCCTCTGAGGGCACAAAGGATACCACTGTGTTCTTTTATCTGAAGCTCCATTATACTAGAGTCTGACATGGAAGATTGTCTTCTGTATCGTTGATCTGATTAGGATGGCATTTTAAAATGTTCTCTTTCTAAATGAAGAGAAGCAAAATTGTGTCAGTGATCCTAACCAGTAGAAAAAAAATGCAAAGAGAGTATAACCTGTGTTTCTGGACTGGTAACTTTTGACTGATCGAGCAAAAATTTTCCTCATTGGTAAAGACTGATCTTCATGATAAGTGGTAAGTAAATTAATCACCTTTTAGTTTCGTTCAACAAAAGTTTACTGAGTGTCCACAGTGTTCCAGGCACTGTGGTAAAGTCTTAGAGAGATTGACACAGTTTCTGCCCCGAGGAATTTATAATTATGTTGGAGAAACAGACAAATAAGCAGATATTGCAACATAGTGTAGTAAGCTCTGTGTTAGAGACACACGTAAGGATTTATAGGGAACCAAAAGGGCATTCTCTAAGCAGCGTCTCAAAAGATACCATTGAACATTGCTAAGAACGTCCACCACAGGGGCTCTGATCTCACTTTGTTGATGAGTGTTGTAGAGCAAAATGATGAAATTTAAATTTTGACAGTTTAATACTCTATGGGTATAATAATGGCATGCTCGTTGCTACATTCATTTCACAATGAAAGTTGAAAATCTTTATTAAATTAGGTGAGAAATAAGATTCTGTGCATTTGACCTAGTGCTATTAGGTGGTTCAGAGGGTGACAGTGGGGTGCCCTATATGATAAATGAAACATCAATGAGAGTAAACTAAGAGATTGATTGTAAATGTAGAACTGAGTGTGAGGGAGATCACTGAAAACTCCAGTCAAGGTGACCTGGGTATACTCTCAAAGAGAGGATTGGAGTATGGCTGAAAAAATGATACTCGTTATTACATGTACCAGACATTATTCTTAGCACTACTTTCAGAAGTAGGTATTTTTATTGTTCCCTTTTTGTAGATGAAAAAATAGGCTTAAAGAGATTAAGTGTAACTTGCTTAAGATCACACACACAGAGTAAGTGGCGCACTATCTGGTCGCAGAGCTCGTGCTCTTTCCCATTTAAGCTTATACAGTCTTAGAGAGGTTTGAGTAAGTAGGAACTTAACTAACTGTGATGTACTTTGCCCGGAAAAAGAATTTGAATAGATACTGTCAGTCCAGCGCACAGGAGAGGAAAGCCCAAAGAGGTGTCCTCAGTACCTACTGCGCTACCTGCCACACATCACAGAAAGGGCTAAATCTGGCAAACGCAGATATGGACCCCAGGGAAATGTTCTTGGATGTGGGTTAGGGATGGTTCTGTAGGCTTCACTGTGGCCTAGATAAATCTTCCTCCCTTTGCTCTTGCTCCATACTTGTTAGTTTTTCATTGTTCATTTGGTTTTACAGGTACCTAGCCACTCAGAAGGAGGGAGCCTTGGATAGTAGTCACTTTAAAGGACTACTATTTCAAACGCTCACTTCTACCCTGTTCCTCATTGTCAAACAGGTTTCTACATTAGTCTCATGTGAGCCAGGGTAGGTGAGTGTGGGTCTGTTCTGTTCTGGGGCAATGACAAGATCCAGGTTCCTCAACCTATTAATACAAAGGTGAGGCCACAATTTCGTAGTGTCAGTGACAGCAAGAGGGAGTTCCTGGAGTAGCAGTGCCATGGGGCCAATGCCATGAATGATGGCATGGAGGTTGCAGTATCATGCTCTTTGGTGGAATAGCAGTAGTGTCTTGCTTGGTCCAGGAGTTCCATGGATTTAGAATGCTGATGTATTATCTTTGGCTGTATTCTCAGAATCTGGGTCTTTAGACCTCTTGATGAAACTGAGATACCCATTCCGCTTACATTATAATAAGTTCATTTTTGTCTTTAGTGGAAAAAGAAAAAAGAAGAGGCCTACAACTTGGATTGCTATCAATTCACCAAGGTAGTGCCATACTGTTAGGCACTGTCTGTACAAACAGCCAGCCCCTCTTGCTTTGCCAGGATGCTGCACTCACATGCCTGTGTGTGTGTAGTCAAAGCAGATTAAGATTAGGATACCAACTGTGAGGACTAATTAGGGCAGTTTGTCACAGCTTCGCCAACCTAGCCTTTTTTTCTTGTAGATTTTTTAGGATTGAAGGCAGAAAGGAAAAACATGACTTCAGGAACTTTTGGATTATTGAGATTTGCACTAAATTGGATACAGTTTTACTCATATTTATCACCTACTTTCTTTGCCCTAAGTAATTCTTGAGAAAATTTAACACTTCCAGAATTTATTGAAAAATGTAACTTATTCCTAAATAACTTGAATAAAAACCTTAAGCCATGACTTCAAATAGCACATCAGTAATACCTAATCATTTTAGCTGTTTATTTCCGTATGTGCATTTCCTAGCAGTCTACACATATAGATGGTTCCTGCTGGTTTTAGTTTCGCGCCATTTCTCTATTTTATCATTCTGCTATTGTAAATACTAGGAAATAAATGTTTAAAAGGGGGGAAAGAAACAAAAGGTGTAGCTGATGTGCAGATTGGGATTGAACGTGGGAATGAGGGGTGATGGGAGTGATTGTAAATATTGCAGTCCTGCATAGTCTCCATCAGGGATGTGACAAAGTGGATAATCTCTACCACGTGAGAAACTTCCAACATTTCTTGCAAATCAAATTTAATGAATGAATAAAATAAAGCTGTAGCACTTGGCACATTCATTGGGACCCTTACACAAACATTATCAATATTGTGTACGTTATCTTTATTATCAGGTCACAAAAGATGTCATAAAAGAATTTGCAGATGATGGTGTCAAGTACCTGGAACTAAGGAGCACACCCAGAAGAGAAAGTGCTACCGGTAGAATTTATACTTCTCAGCAAATGTACTGTCCTTTTCCTATGTGCTTTGATCACTCACACGTTTGTGAGTGGGAATATGAAGCACTAACTTTTACACTATTGTGTTGTTCTGTATTTCATTGAATCTTTAGTCAACAGTCCAAGTCCTCTCTCTGATGTACGTTAATGATGTTCATTTTGTTTGTTTTAGAGACGGGGTCTTGCTGTCTTGCCCAGGCTGGAGTGCAGTGATGCAAACATAGCTCACTGTAACCACAAACTGCTTGGCACAACGATCACCTCAGCCTCTATAAGTCCTGGGATTGCAGGTGTGAGCCACTGCACCCATCCTGATGTACATTATTAATGAGTGAGTTGTTCTTAAGTAAAAAGTAGTAAAATTCCAGTCAGGCATTATCTGTTTAAGGAAGGAAACAAAGGCCTGAAAGTTTCTTTTGTTCTTCCTTGTTTAGTTGTTTTCACTCTGAGAAAAGGATACCTGCTCTGTATGTTTGCATTGGCACAAGCAGAGGCTGATTCTTGCTCCCTGCATCACAGGCACTTGTTGAGACAATGCCGTTGAGTGGATGCAGAATCATGTTTTATGGTAGTTACTAAAATTATCATTCACTTCTCAGGGAATAGTTTCTTTTTTTTTTTTTTTTTTGAGACGGAGTCTTGTGCTGTCGCCAGGCTGGAGTGCAGTGGCCGGATCTCAGCTTACTGCAAGCTCCGCCTCCTGGGTTTGCCCATTCTCCTGCCTCAGCCTCCCTAGTAGGTGGGACTACAGGCGCCCGCCACCTCGCCCGGCTATTTTTTGGTTTTTTTTAGTAGAGACGGGGTTTCACTGTGTTAGCCAGGATGGTCTCGGATCTCCTGACCTCGTGATCCGCCCGTCTCGGCCTCCCAAAGTGCTGGGATTACAGGCTTGAGCCACCGCGCCCAGCCTCAGGGAATAGTTTCTTAGGCCAGGAGCAAGCTGTGATGTGGTAAAACCTCTTTGGATAGAGATGAGATCTGGCTATGGTCTGGAGGAATTTCCTGAGATCCTCCTTCTATAATCAGCATCAGGAGACATTGGGGCCCTCTTAGCACCTTGTTTATGACCCAAAGAGACGTAGGTCATCTTGTTTCCTGATATGTGTAACTTAGTAATCATTTGGGGTTAAAATTTTTGAAACTGTTATTGTAAAGTATAAGTGTTTACGTAAGATAAGGAGAAGGCTCTCATCTTGCATTTTTGAACCGTAGAATCGGTTCCACGTTGTACTGGTGAGAGTAGTGAAAGGGAAGGAGAGAAGAGCCAACTCGTAGGGCTCTTTCGATGGAGTTCCAAAAGGAGGATATTAACCTAAATATGCAACAGTAGAGGAGTGGTTAAATAAAGGCTAATGGAATATTAGACAACTATTAAAAATACTGGTGAAGACACTTTAATGACATGGGGAAATACTCAGAATCGTGTTAAATGACTGAACTGGGTACATATATACCTAGTAGTAGCTCCTCTATTTACAGATGTGTATGTGGGCAGAGTGCAATGACTTATGCCTGTAATTCCACCGCTTTGGGAGGCTGAGGCAGGAGGATCACTTGACGCCAGAAGTTCGAGACCAGCCTGGGCAACATCGTGAGACCCTACCTCTGTGGGCTCCAAGGGCTGCAGTGAACCGTGATCATGCCACTGCCCTCCAGCCTGAGCAGCAGAGAGACCTTAAAAAAGGTCTCTTGAAATAAGACATAGAAATAAATGTGTATATGTGTATTTAACAAACAGTAGTTACCTCTCAGTGGTGGGGTTATTTTTATTTATTTATTTATTTATTTTGAGACAGAGTCTTGCTCTGTCACCCAGACTGGAGTGCAGTGGTAGGATCTTGGCTCACTGCAACCTCCGCCTCCCAGGTTCAAGTGATTCTCCTGCATCAGCCTCCCGAGTAGCTGGGATTATAGGCATGTGCCACCACACCTGGCTCATTTTCATATTTTTAGTAGAGACAGGATTTCACCATGTTGGCCAGAGTGGTCTCGAACTCCTGACTTCAAGTGATCGGCCTCCCAAGCAAAGACGGGGTTTTGCCATGTTGCCCAAGCTGGTCTCAAACTCCTGGGCTGAAAGTGATACGCCCGCCTTGGCCTCCCAAAGTGCTGGGATTACAGGCATGCCACCACACCCTATTTTTATTTTTATTTATAACTTTATGTATTTTACCAGAGACTTTCCACCAAACATAAGCATTTTATAATCTGGGTAAAAGGGTATTTTATTTTTCCCAATGTAGCCTAAAGAAAAAGAAAAAAAGGTATTGACAGGAGGTTGCTCTGGAGAGTGCCCTTGCAGATCGCCCCAGAGAGCAGAGCGCTCATACTTGGAAGAACATCCTGGTTCCCTGGATGAGAAACACTAAGCCCGAGCAGGATTGAGGGGAAAGGAATCCAAGTTAGGACTTTTTTTCTGGACCAGGAGAGAAAATGTCCCTTTAAAAAAAAAAAAAGCCGGACGGGTGTGGTGGCTCATGCCTGTAATCCCAGCACTTTGGGAGGCCAAGGCGGGCGTATCACTTTCAGCCCAGGAGTTTGAGACCAGCTTGGGCAACATGGCAAAACCCCGTCTTTATTAAAAATCCAAAAACTAGCTGGAAATCACTTGAGTCCAGGAGGCGAAGGTTGCAGTGAGCCAAGATTGTACTACTGCACTCCAGCCTTGGTGACAGCCAGACCCTGTCTCAAAAAAAAAAAAAAAAAAGTCTTTATTTTTTTCATTTCATTTCTGTAACACTTCATTTTCCCCCAATTTTATTAAAGTATAATTTACTTTACTCAAATGTACCCATAAGGGCCATATTTTCACTCATCTTTAACCATGCCCTTGTCATAGCATAAAGTGAAAATGTACTTGTTCATATAGGATTGCTGAAGGTGAAGGATGAAATAGTTGATGATCTCTTTACATGTATTTTCTATGTGTCCTTTCCAGGAATGACTAAAAAGACTTATGTGGAATCTATACTTGAAGGTATAAAACAATCCAAACAAGAAAACTTAGACATTGATGTTAGGTAAGAAGATTGTACCTTAGTAGTTAACATTTACAAAACCAGAATGTTAATTTTTACTGTTTTGATCGTGGGTGTAATGGATTTTTTAGAATTAATCATTCATTGATTTATACAATAGAAAAATAAAATCAAGAACCCTGTTGTTTAAAGTGAGAACACAATTCTGAATTTATTCATAAGGCAATATAATTCTGAGTATTTTTACATGAGTAAAGTATGGTGTTCCTTTGCCGTTAAGCTAAAATGAACTTCTTACTGTGGCCTACAAGGTCCCACATGATCTGGCTGCCTCTGTTAATTCAGCAGCTCATCTAGACCACTCCTCTTCCCTTACCGTGGGCGTGCTGTCTCTTCCTAAAATAAACAAGAAAACTGTCCCCCTTCAGCACCTTTGTTTAGTATTCCCCAGAACACATTTCTACGAGATTCCTGCCCAACTGGCTGGCTTCTTCTCATTATTCAGATCTCAATTTGGCTGTTACTTCCTCAGAGGGGCCTTCCTTTACGACTCTGTCTAAAGTGCCCCACTAATCCTCTAGTCACCCATCTATTTCCTTTATGGCATTATTTGTAACAAGATAAGGAATTATCTTGTGTTAGTTTGTATGTATGCCCACCCGCTAGAGTGTAAGTGTAGTGAAGCCAAGGACCTTGTTTTATGATTCACCACTTTGTTGAGCCCATACTATGTACCTACTTTGTGGTAAGTACTAAAGATGTACTTGTGAATCATGTACATGTAGATTCACAAGTACATCTTTAGTACTTACCATAAAGTAGGTACACAGTATGGGCTCAACAAAGCCCTAAATGAAGAAAGAAAAAAAGCTAGCTGTATAGTTTCAGGTTATAAGACTCTAAAAATTAAGCTTAACTAAACTAATAACCCCAATAAAAAACCAAGCAGAAGAATAGAATGCAGAGAAGAAGACATACAAAGAGCTGGTAAATGTATAGAAATACATAGAAAACTACTAAAGTCATTAATCATATATTACAATGCTGTTTCCGTAGGCTAAAAAAAAGTAATAGCAAGTGTTTGTAAAGTTACACACTGCTGGTAAGCATATGTAATTAATAAAACCTCTTTAAATCCTGCACTGGTACACAGGTAAGGGGAGGAAAAAGCCTCTCTAAAGAGCAATGTATGTCAAAATTTATAAAAAAGTTTTTCCCTCTGACCCAGCAATTCTGTGCCAGAAATGCATCCTAGGAAATAGATTGATTTATGCATAAGATTCCTTATTATAATGTTATAACAAAAATTAGAAAATAGCCTAGAATGTCCAGCATTCAGAGGATAATTACATTATGGTATGTTCACATGATTTATACTATTTTCTAACATTATTTTAATGGCATGGGAAGTTGCTAAGTGAAAAAAAAGATACAGCATTTTATATATTGTTGATCTAAATTTTGTAAATGAATAAATGAACAAATGCTGAAGGAATTTGTGAATAAATAGTAAGCTAATAACTGCTTTAGAAAAATTATAGGGGTTCTCTGGGTATTCAAGAAATATTAACAGGCCAAGCACGGTGACTCATGCCTGTAATCCCAGAACTTTGGGAAGCCAGCGCGGGCAGATCACCTGAGGTCAGGAGTTCAAGACCAGCCTGGGCAACATGGTGAAACCCTATCTCTACTAAAAATACAAAAATTAGCCAGGTGTGGTGGCAGGCACCTGTAATCCCAGCTACTCGGGAGGCTGAGGCAGAATCGCTTGAACCCGGGAGGTGGAGGTTGCAGTGAGCTAAGATCGTGCCATTTCATTCCAGCCTGGGTGAGAAGAATGAAACTCTGTCTCAAAAAAAAAGAAAAAAAGAAATATTGGCTGGGTGCGGTGGGTCACGCCTATAATCCCAGCACTTTGGGAGGCCGAGGTGGTGGATCATGAGATCAAAGAGATCAAAACCATCCTGGCCAACATGGTGAAACCCCATCTCTACTAAAAATACAAAAAAGCCAGGCGTGGTGGCAGACGCCTGTAGTCCCAGCTACTTAGGAGGCTGAGGCAGAGGTTGCAGTGAGCCAGTATCAAGCCACTGCACTCCAGCCTGGGCACAGAGCAAGACTCCGTCTCAAAAAAAAAAAAAAAAAAAGGATTAACAGAGATTCTCTGGGTATTCAAGTCCTATAGAATTCCAGCTAATATTTGAAGAATGAACTTTTATCAGATATTTGATACATTTTCGAAGGAGAATATTTCTAATTTTGTAACCCCTAATGAAATAATGGATCTCAGCCTCATAAGAGCACACCACCACCAGTTTACTCTTACCAAAAAATGGAACCTGATCTGCCTCTAGACTAGATAGGAAATATAAGAAATAGGACAACATGTTAACAACACAGGGATACAATCAACAAAATCCAGACCATGGAAAACTTTGTAGGACAAACAACTTGGTTTCTTCAACAAAGAAGTTACAAGAAAAGCAGGGTGGGAGGTGGGAGGAGAGGAAGGAATGGTTGTAGATTAAGACAGCCTTAGAAGACACTTTGACTTACACAAAGTATGGACCTTGTTTGGATCCTGAATCAAACAAACTGAAGAAACAAATACAGGAACAAAAAAACCTCAAAAGACAACTGTAGATCTGAACACTGACTAGATGCTTGATGCTATTTAGGAATTCATGTCTCAGTCCGTATGGCAAAGTAAAATGTCAGGTTGTCTACATTCAGTCAGGCTATACTTTTCCTAGTGAGATGTATTACAGAGACTGCCATCTCTGTCTGGCTGTACTCAGAATTGTCTTTTTCATCTGTGTCATATTAGTTTTCAGCTCTGTCTTTCTTATGTTAAAGGTATTTGATAGCAGTTGACAGAAGAGGTGGCCCTTTAGTAGCCAAGGAGACTGTAAAACTTGCCGAGGAGTTCTTCCTTTCTACTGAGGGTATAGTTCTTGGCCTTGACCTCAGTGGAGACCCGACTGTAAGTTACTTTTCCTACATATATTTTAATTCTAAAAGGTAGAATCAGTTAGTGGGATAAGGACTAGCTTCGGGCATCTTGTGTTGCATTCTGCAGAGTGTCCAGCAGACACTCCATTGTGTGGATGAAGGCCTGTTCTGCCCTGGATGACCAGAATGCCTAGAGCAGCTCTCATCCAAGGTTCTGTGAAACAATTAAGTACACTAAAAAAAACAAAAAACAAAAAACAGTTGCCTGACCATATGACTGTTTTCTCCATTCTTCCAAAGATGGTGCACAGCTAGTACCAGACTATCTGCACTATAATGTAATTCATTACATACAATGGATGGATGTCTTAGGGTGTTGGGGCTTAACTATCATGGATAGTTGAGAAATGTTGACCTGAGCTTCTTGAATGTCAGATTCAAGCAGAAATCTTGATATTTGGGGCTGGATAATTTGTTGTGGGGCTGCCCCATGCATTGTAGGATGTTCAGCAGCATCCTTGGCCTCTACCCACTAGATGCCAGTAGCACTCTCCCAGATGTGACAACCAAAAATGTCTCCAGACATTGCCAAATAGCCCCTGGGGGGGCAGAATTGCTCCTGGTTGAAAACAACTGAATAAGAGAGTCCCATGAAACTGATTCTTATGGCTTTGTCCAAACCTAGAGTATTCTGCCCTTTTTATCCACCTGTTTAACAGAAGTGTTTTGAGTAATCATGAGAGTTCCTGAGTCAAGTGAGTGAGTTCCCCTTAGCTCTGGATATCTAGGTGTCCTTCCAGGCATAAAATTTGGTGACTACTATATCCAGCTTAGCTGACTGACCTCAGTTTACTGTTACTAGACAAGATTCTCGAGGTCAGGGACTGTGCCTTTGCCAGCTTTGTGTTCAGCAAAGTGGCTAGCACACTGTAGGTGCTTTATAAACAAGATGTGCAAATGAATTAATCTACCATAATTTTTTCTGCCATTATGTTGTTTATTGGAATGGAGTACTCAGTTCCTCGGTTTTCCCAGAATTCTCACGCATCCTCATTTCAACTTTTATCTTTAAGGTAGGACAAGCAAAAGACTTCATGGAACCTCTTTTAGAAGCTAAGAAAGCAGGTCTGAAGTTGGCATTGCATCTTTCAGAGGTAAATAATATTGTCTTAGGCTAAAAGGGACAGATTGTAATAGAAAATAATAGGGTCATTTGTAAGTGACTAGGAATAAACCTAGATTGGGAAAACATTTTTAAAAAAGGGAAAGTAGAAATATTTTTAAATACATGACTTGCTTTAGTCTCTAGTGTTACTGTTTTTATCCTTTTGTGGTTCCTGGGAGTGGCTGTTGACTCAAATGCCAGCTGTGTCATTAAAAGCAGCTTAATGACATCTTGCTAGAGAAAATGCATGAATTTCCAACATCTGTCTTGTCATTGGCAAGCTGACTCTAAGAAAAGCACCCATTCATCTCACCTGTCCTCATAGTAGAAGGGACCTGATTTTTGTCACATCCAATGGCAATAAAGGAAGCAGCTCGTCATTTTACAAAGCCCAGCAAAGAGGTCCAGTTCCCTTATCAGCCCCAAGCTCACTGGTAGCATGAACGTAGTGACAGATAATTGCTGGGAAGTAGTCACTTTCGTAAGCACATCCTTGTGAGGCAAACCTCTTGTGAGGGACTCTGCTGCAATTTTCCCCATTTTGTAGATGGGTTTACTTTTTACCTCAATACTTCTATCTATTTATTTCTTAAATGCAGAAAATAATACTTAGTCTACTTACCTCACAGAGTTATTGTATTAAAGGGGTAATGTATAAAGTTTAAGTAGCATCATGATTTAAAGATTAAGGAAAAAAATCAGAACCCCTTGCCAGTACTTGTATCTTTCATGTCTATAAGTAGAACATCAGTAATCTAGTGGCAGGACTTAAAATCTAGAATCCATGTTTCCATACTCTAATTCGAAAGACCTTTCATCCACAGGACATCCTATGGCTGACCTACCTGATGCGTGATAGAAACCATTGGTCATTGTAAGGGAATAGCACGTGTGACAGTGACCAGTTATCTCTGGCCTTGTGTGCAACATCAGAACTTGTTCTTTACCTTCGTTTCTGTTGCTTTTATCATCCAGTCCATTGGATATAAAACCTTTCATTAAAAATGTTCTAAGAATTTGTGTTTTGGGCAATCCAGGAGATAAAGAGCACAGCCAGACATTTTCATGGTGATTGTGGTATGTACATAGCCAGCCTTGCCAGAATCAAACATGATGAGCACACTATGTGAGGGAAGTAACTGGGCCCTGGAGTCAGACTGAGTTAGGTTTCACCCTTATCTCTGCCGTTCACTAGCTCTATGACCTTGGACAACTTTTTAAAAAAAATGCTTTACATTTTTAACTGTAAGAGTTATGTGTACCTGAAAAAAATCCAAGTATCAAGTAGGAAAGTATTAAAAATTAAAAGCCCAATTTCTATTTGTTTTGCTCCCTAGAGTTAATACTGTTAACAGTTTTGTGTTTATATTTTTTGAGAACTTTTTATAATATATATGAACACATGTATATTACAGAACACACATATACATATAGAGTTATGAAGTTTTATTTTTTGAAAATTACTTAATTTTTCTCAGCTTTAATTTCTTCATCTTAATACTTTTTAAGATTCTTGTGAAGCCTTAAATAATTTCTGTGAAAAAGCACAAAGTAGGTTCTTAATAAGTGTTTATTATTATCATTGAAATGAATCTAGAAGAATATTGAGGAAAGAATGGGAAGATGAAAGTCAAAGAGAGCTAGGAAGGCAGTAGTAGTTCAGTTTTCCAAAAGGTCTGTATTAAGTACTACTCAGAGGGGCAGAGTACCTAGCTATAGAAAAAAAATTCTCTTTAAGAACCACTGAAAGAGGCCATTGATCCCTTTTCCTCCCCTTTCTTTAGATTCCAAACCAAAAAAAAGAAACACAAATACTCCTGGATCTGCTTCCTGACAGAATCGGGCATGGAACATTTCTCAACTCCGGTGAGAGAGGATCCCTGGATCTGGTGGACTTTGTGAGGCAACATCGGATACCACTGGGTAAGGCTTGGAGTTTCAGGTCTTCCAGATGACTCTCTGTCCCTCCCCCAATCCCCAGGTTTTCTGGGGATTGTAGAGAAGTACTGTTCTAAAAGTACGAATGTCATCTCGCTATTAAAAGATGCATGGAGTGTGTGCTTTCTGAGCCTTATTTAAGTAACAGAAAGCTTTAGCTTCCATTAGAATATAAGCTCTATGACAGCAGGGCCCCTGCTTGTCTTATTCATTGCTACATTCTCTAATGCTTGGAACTCAATAAGAATTTTTTAAAGGAATAAAGGGTCATCTAGAATTTTGAAATGACTTTAATAAAATTGACATGTGTTATGAAAATATGTAACATTATTTAAAACTTAAACATGGAAAATCCCAAGTATATTTTCACATGTCTGTTGATCATTACACACTTGATTGTCTGTGTTTATGAAGTGCCTACTTTGTTGTCATTGCTGTCAATAGAGCAGTACACAAAACAGGCAAGCTTTCTTTCCCAAGAAACTCATATTCTAGCAGAGGGAAGACGGTAAACAAATACACAAGAAAGTATCAGTGTTCTATGAAGAAAATTAAAACAGGCTGATATAGTAGTGATTGTATAACCACTTTCGATTGGATGGTTAGGAAAGGCCTTTCTAAAGAAGGAAGAAGTGGTTGGCTGCAAACCATTTTACAGAATGATCAATTTGCTAAATTTACCAATTTATAAAAATGCTTGTGTGAGTATGTTTTAACTATAGAGTTTTCAGCAATTCATAATGGGTGAGATTTGCTTTTTTTTTTTTTTTTTTTTTAAGCTAAGGAAAATTTTAAATATCCACCAAAGTGGAGAGAATGGGAACCACTGGCATAGTGATCTTACTTGGTGTGGTGGCCCGGCTCTGCTCCCAACAGAGTGAGGGGGCAGTTTGGGTTTGTCATCCCTTAAACTGAGGGAGCCTGTGTTGAGGCTGCCTTACTCAAGTGAGCAGATGCCATCAATCAGGTCAGTCAGGTATTTACTCTGGCTGGGGATACTGGTAATATTTCCAGGAAGGAATTTGTTAGTTGTAGGAGTCATTCTCTCTCTTTTTTTTTTTTTGGAGATGGAGTCTCATTCTGTTGCCCAGGCTGGAGTGCAGTGGCGCAATCTCGGCTCACTGCAAGCTCTGCCTCCTGGGTTGACGCCATTCTCCTGCCTCGGCCTCCCTGGTAGCTGGGACTTACAGGCACCCGCCACCACACCTGGCTCATTTTGTTTTTTGTGTTTTTTTTTAGTAGAGATGGGGTTTCACTGTGTTAGCCAGGATGGTCTTGATCCCCTGACCTTATGATCCACCCACCTTGGCCTCCCAGATTGCTGGGATTACAGGCGTGAGCCACCGCACCCGGTCAATAGTAGGAGTCATTCTTAAGATGGACTTAACTTACCTAGAAGCAGAAGGAGGTGAATGAATGATTGTCTGGGTGAAAGTGTTTAGGGGTTCTTAGAAGCCATGGCAAAGTCCCTGCTCATTCTTAGCTCTTCATAATGCTCTCACATGCAGTGCTACAGTTTTCTTACCTGTGTTTTGGCTTCCACTGTTAGACCAGGAGGGATTGCAGTAGCTTTTCAAAAAACCGTTCTGCTCCTATCATTGATAATTCTCTGCTTTTTTCATCATGACATTCCTCTTTCCTCTCTATTTTGGTCAAAGAAAGAGAAGTGCATGGCTGTGAAAGGGATATTAATTCTTTGCCTGGTACTGCTGTTGCCATAAGTTGCAGCATGTATTTCCTATACAACTACACTAATTGAACTACAAATTTTCACACATAAGGAAAGGTCAGCTTTGTAAACTAATAAACTAAATTAGCAAATTTTGGAAAGATTTCTTATGTATCTACTTGGTGAACACAATGAGTTCACTTATTTGCTTTTAATAAGAGATTTTTTTCCCCTCTTCATCTAGAACTCTGTTTGACCTCAAACGTCAAAAGTCAGACAGTTCCATCTTATGACCAGCACCATTTCGGATTCTGGTACAGCATTGCCCATCCTTCTGTGATCTGTGTAAGGTGTTCCGTGTGAAGTATTTTGCTCCTTTTTGCTCCCTGAGTTGCATTAAGTCAGATGTTCACTACCTAGCTGACTGCCTTGCATGTCTGAGGATAATGCCCAAGTAGAGGAGTTAGAAGGCACTGGGGTATGGCTGGGTATAGTGGTGCACACCTGTAATCCCAGCTACTTGGGAGACTAAGGCAGGAGAATCACCTGAACCCGGGAGGAGGAGGTTGCAGTGAGTGGAGATCATGTCATTGTGCTCCAGCTTGGGCAACAAGAGTGAAACTCCATCTCAAAAGAAAAAAAGAAAAGGGACCGGGACATGAGAGACTGCAGAGGGCCAGGGTGACTCTGGTTTGGCTCTATAGCAAAAGGTACTTGAGAGGACTTAAAAACAAAAACAAACAAATTGATGCTCCACACCCATCCCATGAGATTCTGTTTTATTTGATCTGGGGTGAGTCCTGGGCATAGATAGGCTTTAAAAACTCCTTAGATAATTTTAATATACAGCCAGAGTTGAAACACTGCTCTGGTATCTTAAGGTATAAATAAGTCTGTTTAGTTACAGCTATGTACAGATAAATTTGTAGGCCCTTGTTTAGACTCTTGAAAGAAGTATAGTAAATAGGAAAATAGACTCTAAACAAAAAGATGGTCGTTTTTGAAAAATCCTTCCTTTTTCATTTTGAAACATTCTTGTTTACATTGGCAGACTGATGATAAGGGTGTTTTTGCAACACACCTGTCTCAAGAGTACCAGCTGGCAGCTGAAACATTTAATTTGACCCAGTCTCAGGTGTGGGATCTGTCTTATGAATCCATCAGCTACATCTTTGCTTCTGACAGCACCAGATCTGAACTGAGGAAGAAATGGAATCACCTGAAGCCCAGAGTGTTACATTTTTAAGCTGTAATGAGGTGAACTACTTCTGAGTATGTGTTGCAATCAAGGTCCTGCCATATCCCACTTAGTGAAACAGTCCACCACTCCTTGGAAGCATAGCAGCGAAGTTCCTTGTGCTCTATCACCAGCACCTTATATGTGGCAGGTACTCAGTAAATATGTGTCTTCAACTGACTCACAAGCTCTCAGGTGCTTACTGGGTGGGATTTGACTGTTGTTGCTAATTAAATCCCCATTCCACCAGTGATTATTGCGACTCAGTAGTCCTTCCCCATTAGTGATCATAAAACTTCAGGGAAATCAAAGTTTCTCATCAGGAAATGTTTTGGAATTCCTAGTATAAAGTTAGGAAAGGGGGGAAATTAGGTTACTGCCAAGACCTTTAAGCCTTCTAAACAGCTTTATATTTTATTGTGTTTACCTTCATCAGACTCCCTTCACTTGCTTTAAGTTTTTAAAAGTATTCCCCAGCCAGATGTGGTGGCTTATGCCTGTAATCCCAGCACTTTGGGAGGCCAAAGGGGGCAGATTGCTTGACCCCAGGAGTTCAGTACCAGCCTAGGCAACATGGAGAAACCCTGTCTCTACAAAAAGAAACAAACAGAAATTAGCCAGGCACGGTGGTGCACGCCTGTAGTCCTAGCCACCAGGGAGGCTGAGGTGGGAGGAGACCTGAACCCAGGGATGTTCGAGGTTGCAGTGAGGTGTGATGCCACAGCACTCCAGCCTGGGTGACAGAGTAAGACCCTGTCTCAAAAAAAAAAAAAGTATTCTCCAAGATCCCAAGACCATTGACACCAGGTCACATTGTATACCAGGGATTGTGTGAATGCCTGGGGATGACCCTAGTGACAGACAAAGCTAGTTGCTGAGATCTGGTTTTGCCCTCTTTACGATTGTCCCATCAGTACTAGAAAGAGATTGAAGTCATTGCTCCAATTTTGGAAGAGGAGAGAATAACTGGCTGAGGGGTGAGAAAGACAGAAATAGCTGCAGCTTTCTTTTTTTTTTTTTTTTTTTTCCGTTCCAGCACAGGCTCTCACTCTGTTGCCCAGGCTGGAGTGCAGTGACTTGATCACAGATCACTGCAGCTTTCAGTTTTAAAAACAGCTTCTATTACATTTTCTTTGTGGAAGATTATTTCCACCTTAGTACTCACTTTCTGGTGGGTCTAAAAGATACCTCTAGTAGTGGCAACATTGTGTTAAGTAGAGTTCATTGGGCCTGTTGTAACCCTACCACTACAGGATGGACCACTGGTGCAGGCTTACAAAACACACATACTGGGACCATTTCAGCTGAAGACAAGGGACAAACTAAGACAGTTCTGAAAGGTAAAAAAAAAAAAAAAGCAAACAAAAAACGAGCGTATTAGATACCAAGTATGCTTGAATTGCTTTTGCTCTTTAGAATGTGGTGTTTCCCTGGTATCATAAGAAGTTAAAGGCCTGATTGACAACCCTAAATTTAACATTACTAAGGTTTTCTGATAGGTTTCTGTGATATCGTAAAGTATATTTGGTCTTTGACCCTGTTTCCTGGCATACTGCTCCTAAAATCCTTAATGTCTCCAGAATGATGCCTTTTTGTATCTGATGAGTTGACTGCTGGCTGGCAGCCCCTACTGGAAAGACCAAGGCATGATTAGAGTTGGGACTTTCAGTCCTCCCCCAAACTCTTGGGAGAAGGGCTGAAGGTTAAGTTGATCACCAGTGACCAGTGGTAATCATACCTTCATAATGAAACCTCCATAAAACTCCAGAAGAACAGATTTTGGAGCACTTCCAGGTAACTGAGCATGTGGCGGTCCGTAGAGGGTGCTGTACCTGAAGAGGGTATAGAAGCTCCTGTCCCTTCCCACATGCCTTGCTCTATCCATTTCTTCATCTCTATCCTTTGTACTGTCCTTTAGAATAAACCAGTGAACCTAAGTGTTTCCCTGAGTTCTGTGACCTTTACTAGCAAATTAAACTCAAGGAGGGGTCATGGGAACCCTGATTTGAAAACCACCTGGGGTTTGAACTTGGCATTGGAAGTGGGCAGCAGTCTTGTGGGGCTGGGCCCTCAGTCTGTGGGATCAAATGCCATCTCTAGGGGATAGCATGGGAAATTGGAGGACACCTAGATGGTATCTGCTGCAAAATTGATTGCTTGCTTGGTGATGGGGAAAAAAACACACATTTGGTCAGAGAAGTTTTCTGTCTTTATTGTGGTGTGAGAGCAGAGGAAAAAAGTTTGTTTTTTCCACTCACACTTTGTTTTAAGGAACAGGGTAGAGGGAAGTTCTGTGGTTTTTAAAGTTCTTAGATATGTGTTTGTAACTTTGTGTGGCATTATATATAGCATTATATTATTTTCTACCCTCAATCTACTCATAGAGAAATTGTATAGTAAAAACATCAAAGTTTATTCATAAAATGTGGATCTATTGCAGTCACTAAAAATGATGTAGAATAGATTTTAATGACTGAAAGTGTTCATGATAATATATTCAATGAAAATATGGTTATAAAGTTTTATAGTCCTTTTTTTGTTTAGTATGTATACAAAAGCTATTGAAGTGTATGATTTTAATTTATTAGCCTTATGAAATTCTTTTCACACTATAAAAGTCATGCTACTCTTAACGGAGGGAAGGGATGGCATAAGTTTTTTTGTTTGAGGTTCTAGAATTTATGTGGATTGGCTGATAAAGAGCATTTATGAAAAACTACAGCCAACATCAAATTTAACGGTGAAATATTGAATGTTTTTTTTTAAAAAAAACATGTGGGCCAGGCACCATGGCTCACACTTGTAATCCTAGCACTTTGGGAGGCTGAGGCAAGAGGATCCTGGAGTTCGAGACCAGTCTGGGCAACATAGGGAAACCCCGTCTGCAAAAAAACATTTTTTTAAAAAATTAGGCATGGTGGCCCATGCCTGTAGTCCCAGCTATTCAGGAGACTGAAGTGGAAGGATCACTTGAGCCTGGGAGTTCGAGGCTGCAGTGAGCTGAGATCACACCACTGTATTCCAGTCTGAGCAACAGAGTGAGACCATCTCAAAAAAACAACAAAACAGACTGGAGAACATAGGGAGACCCCATCGCTACAAATAAAATAAAATAAAATAAAATAAAATAAAATAAAATAAAAAATCTTAGCCAGGCATGGTGGCACATGCCGGTATTCCTAGCTACTCAACAAGCTGAGGTAGGAGGATGGCTTGGGCCCAGGAAGTCAAGGCTGTAGTGAGCCATGATCAGATCACTGCATTCCAGTCTGGGTGACAGAGTGAGACCCTGTTTCAAAAAAAAAAAAAAGTGTATATACACACACATTCACAAACATAGAGAATGAAAAGCAAATAGGCAAAATATAAATAGTTGGTGAATCCAGGTATACAGGAGTTTCTTGTACTCTTGGAACTTTTTCTGTAAGTTTGAAATTATATCAAGATTAAAAGTTACAAAAACTGTATACAGTGTATGTAGATTGGAATAGACTCTCTGAAACCTTATTTCCTGGATTCCTTCAGTGATCTAGCATTTTGGAAAGTACGCCTGCCCCCTACTGTTAATACCAGGTAACCCTGTACATGCATACCATTTGCATCTTCAAAGCCCCATCCCAGACTTACCTGGTCACCACCATAGCTGCTATTTTCACTCTCTCTGTTGCTAAGACCATATATAGCTTGTGTCTTATCTGTACATAAATGAACCCAGAGGTGAAGTATTATGGGACTGACCTGGAATGCAGCTTCATTTTGCCTACACTAGTTCCACATCAAGAGCAGTAAGTTCATTAGAATTTGGCCTAGTCTCTGTAAATGTTGCTCCTGCATTTATCTGTTAAAAACTCTTAAATGCCAACTTTGGGCAACCAGAAATATGTGAGGCCTAAGAAATATTCAGGTGCTTGGTGACTCACAGCATAAGTTATTGGAATATAGACCTCACTGTGTACAATGATGTGAGTATCTTTGGTTTCTGTACTATATTTAAGAAAGATGTCAATAAAATGTTTGTAAATTAAATTCTACTTAAATAATTTGAGGAACTCATTAATTATGGAGGACTTTAAAATTACTTCCCTGATTTATCGATTGGGTTATACAGGTTGAACTGAGTCAACTGGGAATCAATGTATTTTCTTTTTAATATTTTTACTTTACTCTTTGACCACAGTGAAGTTCTGCTCTCCAGAGCCTTTTTGAGCTCTGAGGTACATTGGACTTCTGTTTCTAGTGTTGAACCTGACTTCTAGTTGTTCCAAAGTTTTGTTTCTAAAAGAGCACCATGTTGGGTGTGGTAGGAAAGGAAGAATTTAAGCTCTTAAAAAATACACACACACACACACCTGGTAGTTTAAGCACCATGGTTTCAAAGAATTCTACATAACATTTTATATGTCAAAACTTTTGAGACATGCATGTCATTACATAGCTATTTGAGTGTATAGGAGTAAAGTCTTCGTTTTGGATTTTGAATTGAATAATGGAGAAAGAACTGATGTATCTTTACAATCTTACCTCATCATCCCGTTCTTACCTGGTCACCATAAAAATAGTGCTATACTACGTTGACAAGACTCAAGAGTCTACATTCAGATTACAATAAATGAGAATGGCAAAAACATGTTACATTCTATGGCATTGGCCATAGAGAACAAACAATAAAAGGAAAAATGATAGTGTGGGGGAAAAGAAAAGTAATGGCGCTAAGGAAACAACTGATGTGAACAGGATTGTCCAGCTTCTGCTAATACACATTTTTTGCATCCTTTGCTGCACATGCCACCCCATCTCTCCCACAAAGGCTTTACTGATGTTAAAAAGTTAGAGGTGCAGAGCTGCCCAACAGTGAGCTTGGTTTCTTTCTCAGAAAGTTTGAAGATATGTTTTGCTGCTTCCATCCTGAGGAATGGCAGGTTGGGCAGCATGTAATGGTTTGTGAGGTAGTTTGAGATGAACTGGGTTTTCACCTGGTAAGCAAGTTGGCCCTTGCCCTATTCCTTCTGCACATTCTTTTCATCTGGAGTTTGGAGTGTTGGTTCTGGGTCTTTTTTTTTTTTTTTGAGACGGAGTCTTGCTCTGTCACCCAGGCTAGAGTGCTGTGGCATGATCTTGGCTCACTGCAGACTCTGTCTCCCGGGTTCAAGTGATTCTCCTGCCTCAGCCTCCTGAGTAGCAGGGATTACATGTGCCCGCCACCGCACCCAGCTAATTTTTGTATTTTTTAGTAGAGATGGGGTTTCACCATTTTGGCCAGGCTGGTCTCAAACTCCTGACCTCATGATCCATCTGCCTCAGCCTCCCAAAGTGCTGGGATTACAGGCATAAGCCACCGCACCCAGCTGGTTCTGGGTCTTTTAAAGTAAGACTCAGCTGAGTTGGTTACTGTGGCTCGTGCCTGTAATCCCAGCACTTTGGGGGGCTGAGGCAGGAGGATCACTTGAAGCCAGGAGTTCAAGACCAGCCTGGACAACATAGAGAGACCCCTCATCAATACAAAACTTTAAAAAATGAGCTGAGTGTGGTGGCTCATGCCAGTAGTCCCATCTATTGGGGAGGCTGGGGCACGCTTGAGCCCAGGAATTTGAAGCTGCAGTGACCTATGATGGTACCACTGACTCCAGCCTGGGCAAGAGTGAGATCCTGTCTCTAAAAAATAAAATAAATAAAAATTTTAAAAATAAGTCTCTGCATGCCCAGTTATTTTGGGTCCTAATTTATTGTGGATATGGCTAGAGATACAAAGGAAGGATTTGCATTCTAATTCCCCTTTTACCACAATCTGACTTACTCCTCTTTCTAGAATATAAAGATTCAGATAAGCATACTTCTAGTAAACCCACACAGGGAGCTAAAAAAAAGAAAGACTGATCTTTTCCTACCATCCACAACTTGATTGTAATTTGTGTGTGTGTGTATATATATATGTTTCACTTGAAGAAACACCAGGTACTTTATAGACATAATTTTTATTAATATGGTATCCCTGAGAGACAGATTAGGTGTAAACATTATTTTGCTTTACAGAAAGGGAAATGGAGGCAGGTTAACTTACACACAAGACATCTGGAACCAGAATATCTGTTGACACCCCAACCAATGCTTTTCCCACAAGACTATACATAGATACACTAAAGACTATATATATATATATATATATTTTTTTTTTTTTTTTTGACATTACAGCACACTTCCTAAATCATCTCAGATCCTGAGGCACTGCTTCAGACTGGTTTCTTACAGCTTCCTGTCTGCTTAGGCAACATAACAGAAATACCATCTTCCCTTAATTCCTAATAAATATTAGATTTTTTTGTACTAAGATTCAACACTAGAATCCTAATTAATCTCTAATACAACAAGCTATGAATTACAGAATACTGTATCTTCCTGCTGCTCTCCCCGATCTTATTCCAGCCACAGAATTCTAATTGAATGTGAAACAGCTATTTATCCCAGGCCTTGGCCATCTGGCCATGTTTATCTTTCTTCTCACCTGCTCATCAAAATATCTTCATCAGTTACTACGATTTCTGACCTTTGTCTCCCATTGGAGCTAGTCCCCTTAAACTGCTTATTATTCCAGTGTCAGTCAGCTGTTTCCTTATCAATAGTTATAGCATAGTACCTGATTTACTATAGATGATGGGACTGCCACCTCATGGTCTGCTCTTAACACCCATGTTTCAGCTAAGGTGATTCTCTCTGCCTGCTGCACAGCCCATATCATACTATTCCTCAAGTTCTCATGCTACTCCAAGCTTTATCTGGCCTTCCTTACAGTATATCCTTTGCCTTTTGTTCCATCTACACAAAACACCTTGCTCCCCTATTTTCCCATTCCTCAACCCACCCAGCACTCACTTTTGCAACTAGTTACGGAAGGTTCTTCCTATCCTAATTTAACCAGTAACCTTCCCGCCTTTAAACACTTCCTGC